CTGCATTCCAGCCGTTTAAACAGAGATGCAGTAACATCCTGTGAACAGCTCAAACCAAATAAAACAACATTACGCCATAAACAGAGCAGGCAAGGAGGAAGAGTAATAAAAGAAGCATTGACCACAACAGAGGACGAGCTGGCACTGAGTCCTAATGGGGCGGTCTGGCGGAGTGTAAGTGATAAATGAGTGTGAATTCACAAGTGTGTGTTTTTGGGTGCATTATGATCTTCTTGTCTGCGACCTGATTAGTTTATACTGGTGATTTCTGGCAGGACTGTGTATAGCTTGATTGAGCAATCTTTGATTTTCCTGTCTGAGGAACTGCATCAGTCGCCATTAGGAGCGAAAGAACAAAAGCTTTGGAAAAGAGTTGGGAAACACTAACTCCTGGATTCACAGACGAGACATGAGCCTATAGTCTGAGATTAAAATTGAAGTCTCAGTGGTTTCAACTTAGAGAAAGTTGCATTGGCTGATCTTAAAATACATCAGTGCCTTGTTGTATTGTTTAAAGATAATTGCTAGTAATGATTTTTATTTTTCTAAAAAGAACTCAAATGTTCTAATTGAACTATGGGCTAATGCTCGATTTGAGGCCATTTACCATGATGTTTTCAACCCAAAAGTTTAGAAGACAAAGGCATTTTAAGGCTGGATGATGCATAAATCTGAAAACTGTTTACAAAGTGGAAGTTTTGAAAAATGCCGCCATTGTCAAGTCCATGTAAACACCCGAAAATGTTTGGAATGTACATGTTTAGGAAGATGTTCAATGTTGATTCAAGGCAAGTGTGAACAAACACACAACAATGGCATAGTACTGTATGTGGTAGTGTTGTTGCTCAAATGTTTGCTAATGCTCATATCTGTCAACATTGGGATGTGAAAATAAGGGATAACTTTAAAAAATGAACAGATCTTTGAAAGCATTTGATTGCTTTCCTAACTTTTTATGCTCATTTCAGACAAAATTTGTTCTGTTTAAAAGAAAAACCCAATGAGATCGATGTGTTTCAATATTATTATTATCATTATTAGTGTTATATGTCTGTTCAAACACATAGCCAAATCCCAGTGTCGCTTTCGCTTCATTTTTAATTGCATATATAGAATTCGTTTGGGAAACCACGTCTATTTATCACTATGGAGCACGTCTGACAGTCACGCACCACTACATGAACTGACTGCTTTGAAGATTGGGCAACTGCGCCTGGGAAGAAAAGGAAGGGAATCCCATTTCCATGCCTGAACAAAATGAAAGCACAGAACAGATTCACATTTAAGAGCAAGGGGCGTCCCCTAGTGGTTCGACAGAATGGGTTGCCTATAGGGAGGATCGGCCCTTTAATGCTTCATAAAAAGATTAAAAATATGTTAAAATACCTTGACTGGATGATAGTGTGATAGAATTGTAAAATATGGGAAGATCCCGGGAAAACAGGAGGGTTGGCAGGTATGCTAATGCTTAATCAGTAAAATGGATTTACAGTGGAGCAATGGATCTTACACACAAGCCCTGAGACACCAATGGCACATCGTCACTTCCTACCTTAGAAAGAAGATGACCGCAGAAAAAGCTGGTCTGGCATACGCAATGCAGAGATTCTGGCCATTTTTGCAGATCATTTTGAAAACATTAAACATTAAAACGCAAGGGAAAACATTTATTTTTTACGTTTTTGGCTACATCATTGCTGTGTAAATGAAGCCTTAATCTAAGCACCGTCTGTAAAACAAAACCAAAGGAAGATTTTGAAGAGTTTTTCAGAAGTTTTTATCCATACAGTAAAATTGTCCAAAACAATGCTGGGCGAGAGATTGTTCAAAATAGTGTTCTTTTCTGTTCAGAAAGAAATAAATGGTGTCAAAAAAAAACTCATCCATGCCTTTAAGAGGAAAGAAACAAAAAGAAAAGTGTCTTTATGTGCTATAAACTGTGTGAGAGACAAAGGAAATCAGGGCAAAACTCCCTACATTACCCAGCTTTGTGCCAGCTTGGAGTGCCAGGCCAGTAAAAAGGAAGCCCATAAAAACTGTTAATTAAAAGATCAATGTTTAGCTTCAAAGAAAGGGCAAGGGCTCCAACAGTGTGCGGCCCCTCGTAAATACTAAAGCACATTTTGAATGCAAGAGTCTTGTCATTAGTAGAGGACCGGGCATAGCGGACACCAACCTCAATCCTCAATGGACTGGATGGCGACGGTGCCACAAGGGCCATTCAATTAGTTACTAATAACTTGGTTTATAAGAATGATGATTAGCATGGAGGCCCCCTCCCAAATCGAGCCACTTTAGGGTGTATGGAGAGGCATACGTGCCATCAAAAGACACCACAAGTAAATTCATGTGGACGTTACTAACAATAATGGACTGAACAGAACACACTAAATAAGCCAATAATGAGCCCAGACTTTTCTCGTCAATTTGAGCCTGTCATGGCCAAACAGGCCTGTTCTGGCATCTTCCGTGCTGAAGGGATCTAAATGGGTGAACTGCAGCGCAGAGAGAACACTAATGTAATGTGCTACACTCCCAACGCAAAGGAAAGAAGAGAGGTCAAAGAAGACATCAATCAAACAGGCTTGTGAACGCCGGCAACTCGTCCAATCCACCATCTGCAAGTGATTCCACCATCAGAGAAAGACCAAAAGTGTCTTCAAGCGGATTGTGTCTTACATGTAGGACATGTAACTGAAGAATGAGCTGGATCCTGGACATGTGGATACCATATGGATAGCGAAACTCTAAATATCTTCAAGCTATTGGATTTGGAGGGGAAAAATCCTGATATATGTGTAAACGTTTGAGAGGTAAAGCCTAACCGGTGAAACCTGAAATATTCATTATCTCTGCCTTCATGTGCCTGACATGAATATGCCAAGGTGAAATAAGGCTGCCAAGTGTTGCACAAACCTGCAAGCTCCACACGACTCCTCTCTCACGAAAGTGACGTCACCAAAGAGGACTCATTTGTCTGAGAACCCAAATGGAGGTTCAGCAGTTCTTATCACCCGGTGCTTTCTAAACACTGTCATCGATAGTTTGGACAAGATAAACATAAGATCGTTGACCTCAGAGAAGGTTCAGAAGGAATAACAGACCAAAGGAAAACAGTCGGAGTCTATTGCTTCTGATGCCAACTTTCAGGAAAAGCCGGAAGAGATGAATAAGAATCTCAAGATAAGATAATAAGATCTTTTGCATTAATGGGATCCCTTTTAATTGCATTGGAATTCGATTTAAAACCTGCAGAACAGACATGTTGTTTACACAATGCAGTAGCCTCGAAAAGGTCATGCAACCTCTAAGTCCTGTCCATAAAGTCTGATGAAATTTCTCTCTCTCAAAGGAAAATAAAATGTAAAGACGTCTCCCTACCTCATATTAAGCAAGTACAGGGGGGAGAAAAGTCCCTCGGAAAGTGCCAATTTTTGGAACAAAGTTTACTTGCAGCAAACTAAAAATCTTAAACATTATTTGTTCGCTGGCCAACGGCTTGTCATCAGGCAGCCCACATAAAAAAATGCATTTCAATAATGTCAGAGCGAGCCAAAAACCTGCCAAGCAGATAGTTCCCCGTGCAGTGAAACACACGAGCATTGTATGAGCCTTGGCACCATCACAGCAGATCACTCTCCTCTCCTCTTGAGGAATGGGGCCGATTTAAAACGAGTATAATGTATATGTAGACTTCCAGACAATTTATTTTTCTGATGTTACAAAAAGCATTGGGGATGGATGCAGAACTGGGACGCACCGACGCAGGGACTAAACCCAGTGTCCGTTTGCAGACAATTTACTGTTAAGGTAGGTATGGCAATGGGTTCAAAGTGAAGTAGGGAAAATGGATCCACACATGCATTTATTACGGAGAGGGGATCGTTCATCAAGGAGAGACTAAATCCAGCCACTACCTCCTCAAACGCTTCTTTCTTTCGCCGTCCAAATGCTGACACTCCTTTTCTTTATCGCGCCATTCCAGTTGCTCTTCTTTTTTCTTCGACGTCTTTCTCAGCCCCTCTTCCTCCACTCTTGGCTCGCCCCCGTCTTTAAGTGAGCCTTGGGTAGCGTTTTGGTTTGCTTTTGTTAAAGTAACAGTAAATGAAGCTAATAAAACACAATATATTGGTCTATTTATTTTCTGTAGGAACACATTCCACTCTATAAAGAGGACTAATGGCATTTACACAGAGCCGGACTGATTCTTAAAGCCAATAGGAGATTTATAGACAGTGAACGTTAGCGTCAGCTAAGGGCCGCATGGGCCAGTCCAGATGGCTCCAATAATCAATGGGTGACAAATCCAAGTACCCGATGTACCTTGACTGCACTTAGACATTAGAAACACACCAATGTTATGTGCTAAATGGAATTGTGAAAAGTAGGTAAGAGTAGGTAAACATTTATTTTACGGTAAAAGTTTATAGCAGAGATGCCCAAACTAGGTCAAAGCTGGACCATGATAACCTTTGATTCGACCCGCTATTCCATCTGAGAATAGTTTAGAGATTGTAATTTCCAATTTAATGTAACCTTTTATTAGTTTGTTTTATTGTTAAGCTACAAAAAGCTATCTGAAATTAAATATTTCAATTTAAATGGTGTAAATTAAGCCGATTTTGTTCAAAATGTATATACAACTTTGACTTTGAGACATTGATGAGTGAATCAAGGCAAAGGCCAAGTGTATTCAGCATTGAACTCCACTGTGTTAAATGTGATTATGTTTTGTAGTTTTGTTTGGTATGTGTATTTTCAGCCGACGGCTCCCAATGATATTTAATTTTTGACCCTTCATTCGAAAGTTTGGGCACACCCTGGTTTATAACGTTTAATTTGGTGACATTAATCAATGCAACATTGAACTTATAATCTAACAAATTTAATAATGACAAAACATTCAAGTTAAGGCAATGAATGATACTAAAATGTCCAAACCTTTTCACAATGGGTACGTGTAATATAATACACATTCAATAGCTGTCTCCTTGTGTTACCTGTTCGGGGCTCATCTTCTGCAGCTCCTCCTCCCAGGCGTCCCGTTGGCTGCGGTGGTATGCTGAGGGCGGGGCTAGATCCTGCAGGATGAGCGGGTCTCTCTCGTGGCAGAGGGCCGTGAGGTGGCCGATGTACAGTTTCAGCTTACTGCGGTTCTGATTGAGGTCTATGAGCGGGGGGATAATCTGTCCAAAAACAGGAACGAGGAAATGGGTTAGAGATAAAGAGCCAGTTCAATCTCAGTTTTCCTCTACCGTTCAAGAATGAGATATCTGGACACGAGCCAGTGAGATAAAAAGGCGGGTATGCAGACGCATGCTAAAGTGACACGCAAACAACACGTTCAGCAAGCCAGAACACAGAGTTCACATTATACTTTGTCACATATGATTGTATTCAAAAAAAGAAAAAGGGAGGGGGAAAAAGAAAGAGCAATATTCAGTGAAAGGTTGCGGATGATTATGGATGATAGACCACAGCTGAAACACATGAATCACAGTGAGAACAGTGGTATAATAAAAATGTGTCAGGAGAAACATTCCCATTCCAGGAACACAGACAAACAATCTCAGTTACCTGGACGGCTGCCGACAGATGCCCGGTCTTTACAAAACATCTCTATACACACGGCAGACACTCACACAGCTTTTCCATATCCATCAAATACATAGACTTGTGTGGGAGCAAGTCCAAAAACCATACATCTCCGTGCCATGTGAGTATCTCACTGACTTCAACTAAGAATTCTGGTACAATGCATGATTGATCATCACATTTGTTTTCACATCAGTCGAAAAATGTGATAAATAGCAACGTGTGGTTAGAGTGCGAGTGAGTGAGTGTGGAAGGTCAAATGCTTCATTTGTGTGTAGCACTGCCTAAAATGGAACTAAAGAGACTGGAGTTTAAACCCGGCAAGTAATCACAGAACTTTGAGCGCTATAGTAAAATACTAATGTATTAACTATATAATATATTTAATATTATATATTACATTAATGCATTATATACATACACATTTAATGTATTTACTAATATAAACAATAATGCAAAGATCAGTCTCAAAACCAAGCATGTTCGGTAACACTTTATTTTGATGATCCATTTGAGTATTAGTAGACTGTCTGCTTAATATCTGCTGATACTGCTCCTTCAACAGACATTTAACTGACTATAAGAAACTTTGCAAGTCAACTTACACTAACCCCAATCCTAACCTAACAGTCTGTTTATAATCTACTGAGAAGTAGTAGGCATTTAGATGCAATGTAACTCAACTTTAATAAACCAACCATCAAAATAAAGTGTGACCGCATGTTCTTCTCTAGATCACGTTCTCTAATATAAATAAAGATGTTACATAAGGGAGTTTTTGGGCCACAATGGCGGACCTATAATTTTTGTGATGGGAGAGACGAGCAATGTTTTTGAAATATAACCATACAGCACATGACAGAAAAAGATGTATTGAAATGTTTCCATATAAAAACCGTCTCAAAAGAGGACCGAGAACATAGTATGGCTCAGGGAGCTCTCTGAACGCTCCTCATCGCTCAATGGCAGAAAGCAAATACAGTTACCTGATTGTCAAGAAGTGGGGAGAGGAAGCAGAGGCTAAAAAGAAAGAGTGAGTGATGAGAGAGATGTAAGGGAAGACAGGGACAGAGTCTGCTTTGGTTTGAAGCAGCCCGAGCTTGCGGGAACATTTGTGTCCCCACACTTTATTAATTCTTATTAACCCCATCTGTATCTTTCCAGGGCAGAATGTTATTCTGTTTTCGTTGGCTCGCCGGGGGCCATGAAGGCTCTCTAGGGTGGACTCTGGCCGCAGAGTGCGATCAAACAAAACTGTGAAAGAAATGAGATGGAGGAAGGTGGAGGATGAGCGCGAAAGCTTGGTTTGAAGAGCTTTTAAGAAAGAAAAAGCGAGTTGAGAAAGAGAGGAATGCATGAAGCACGATTCTTCTCAGTTCTGGAACCAATTAAACTGGGTCTCTTTGCAGAACTGGGGCAGCAGACACACCGAGACCTACATCATGCTCTTGTTAGTCTATGGTCAAATGCGACCCGGCCTACAAAACCTACTAAAGTGCAATTGGGTGCCAAAATCCAAAGCCCTGCTTCACGGTGAATGAATAATAAGGTAGGAATTCATCTGTTGAATTCATCTGTTGAATCAGCTGTGACAAAAAAGTCTACATTTATCTATTTGACACACGGCAGACCAATAGCCAAGCCCTTTATATCAGAGCCGGATCTGAAACAGCTGTAAGGGGCGATACCTCCTTCCGCATCTCTGTCAGGTCTTGTATCTGAGCCAAGCGGCACTGCCGGAGGATATACGGGGCCTCCAGATTGACTGGCAGCCACAGAAACAGGGACTTAAACACAGAAACAAGCCTTAAAAAGTCGGTTTGATAGAAGCCCTCCAAACCGCTGTGACAAACGGCCTGGCGGATATGTTCTGAAAAGCAACCAAGTTAAGGCAAACCCAGCCTTAGCGATAGTGCCACATAAATGTGCACCCACACACACCATTACGCATAGACTTGCAACATACATGCTTGACTGAAAGCATGCTGTGCGCTAATAAGCTTTAAAATAGCCCAACAAGTGATGAGATTTGACATTTATTCCCTTCTCTTCCTCCCCATCTGCTCTGAGAAAGGATGAATGGACTCCAGTTCTGAGTCGCAGACCAATGTCTAAACACAGCGTCATCCGTCACACTATGGTTTTAACAGCAAAGTCAACACCTTTGTGGTGACAGAATGCTGATTAACAGTCCTAAAATCCTCACTGAGCATCCTGGACTCAGGTTAGAAGTATATAACCTAAATTATACTTCAGATGTTATTTATTCACTAAGGTCTGATGCACATTTTCGTTCGTCAATAGATCAATGGGAGCTTTCACTGCATGACTTTGTAACCAATGTGAGGACAGCTTGCGCATATGCTTTGAATCGTTTTTGCACTACTTAGTTTGACCAGAAGATGTCAGGTTGACAAGCCAACATTAGTTTATTATCACTCATAACTTTTGGGGAAAAAAAGCGCAGACACTGGACAAGGACAACATTTTTAGTGCACTGAAATGACCTGAAGTACCCTATGGGCTTAATCAAGAACCATGTATTGTTAGTTCTTGAGGATGGCCAATGTGCTAACATTAGTCTTGTCACAGACGGTGATGTTTTCTGTCAACTGGGTGTTGTCATAACTGTTTGGCTTGTACCGTGTTGCTGTTTAATTTTTTTTTGAAAGGTCCTGTGGTAGACTGAGATCATAAATAATGCAACAATAACAGAAACAAATATCAGGCCCAGGTGACAGATTTACAACAGGGGAATTTTCCACTCAAAGCACCATTTGTCTCGTCTTGCTTTGGACACACACGATGGATGGAAGTGGGTCCCTGTTTACCCATCATGACTTGTGTGACATCATTTTTCCAAGACCTTTTAAACAGCTATTCCATCTCCCAGACATGGTTAAAGTTCTGCCATTTCATTTATGGAGCCAAATTAATTGTGTGTTGATTGATTATGATATTTCAGTTGCATACATTTGCTGGAAGCCACTCAAATAAAAATTCTCTGAAGAGAGATTAGGTCGCTTTAGAAGTCAATGCAGGGATGCTGTTTGCTTTCATAATATTAATATAACATCAACCCAATCTGTAATCCACTCTCTGAATTTTGTCACAGAAAAGTAATGGTGCAAATATTGCATATTTATACATATATGTCAAGACAGTTCACTGAAAATAAACCCACAAAGGACATTGCTAAATGTGTCTACACACACAAATAACCTAATCACTCTGACTGAATGACTGTTGATGTGACGGTGAAAGATAAATATCAGACTCAGGACTCCTGGGACTCTCTACTGACCCTTGAAGGACAAACATATCAATAGATTCGGACTGCTGACCACAAAGACCCTTGACTCTTCTCTTTCTCTCTGCAACACTGATCACCTCAACCACAAACATCACCTTCTTGAACCATACACCTCTGAAAGCATAGCATTTGCAAAAGGTTCACTGAAGAATCTGTCCATCTGCTCCCTTTCATTATGCCCTCTCTAAAAGAAGCTGTCTTCACCAGATGCTGTGCTGTATTGCATACCTACGTCTACCTGGTCATAGCTCAAGAACCCCTCCTCAAAAAAGACCAGGGGGGAAAAGAAGTCAGACCCCTCAACAATGACCGGCCTCCTTCACATTCTCCCTCTCTCATTTATCACCTATCAGCTCATCGGGTGCCATTTGATACCCACACTGAGAGGCAGGAGACTCGATCAATGCTGTCAGTCAGGCGGTCCATCAGAGACAAGCCACTGGCTCCTTCCTCAAAGACTCCGGAGGCACAGGAAGCCACAGACGTGGCCTCGAAGCCCAGCTCTACTCATTCAGGTTGGGGGAGGATCCGCGAATCTCAGGCCTCTCTCACAGTAGCTGGACCCTGGCGCACATCGTTTCTCGTGGCTGAGAGTTTTATTGGGCTATCCTCTTTCAGTCTCACTGTGCTACGCATCCATGAGTGTTAAGGGGATAAAGATAAGGAGGGACTGCAAAGCCTCAAACCTGCAAGACACTGACAAGGCCGGTGGGCCTGCCGTCATAAAGTACTTTTCAAGAAAAAGACAAATCTCCGCCACAGCATTCGAAAAAACACTGACATGAGAGAATAATGACTGTCAAATAAAGGGTAAGGGGGCGAAGACACGCACACATACCTCCCAAAAGAGAACGAACAGAAACATGTGTAATCCGAGCGCGGAAAGCAGATCCGGGCGGCAGATTAAGGGCAGGTGAGGAGGTCTGTCTTTCCATACTGTCATTTCATAAGCAACTGACCGCACTACCTCCATCCACAACTCTCAATATATCTCGGTAGAGCCATGCTTACACACACACACACACACACATACATACAGGTTTTTTTTTTTGGATCTAAGTTTCTTACCAAAAAGCTCCTACAATACCTTTTTCTGTCTTGCATGCAGCAAAATTACAACAGCCCTCATGTTTTAAGAGATCCAAGATTTATGCATGTCACTGCTCCATTGCTGTAGCTTTTATGAACTTAGAGCCTCGTCACCTATTTACACAGGTTTTTATATAAATGCCATTAGATTTATACTGGTGGGGGGGTTTATGACCGTTCACTTACATG